AAGGTATGAACTTTATACCTCCAAAAGATGCACAAAGATGAGAAGAATCTGGATCCAAAATCTTAAAAGTAACACCACAACTCCAAAGGTCTTCCTTCACCACCAAGAACACCAAAACGTCACTCTAAAGGTTCAGAACTCACACACAAGAATTAAGGTTTCGAGATGGAGGCTGAATGTAAGAAAGGGTTTAATGCCATAAAGTTCTTTAAATAGGATCCAAACCTTAAAAATTAGGGCTTGTCCTCTTCTTGCGTACTCCCAGCGTACACACACATACACCCAGCATATGCGAGGGATTCGACAACCATCTTTTAAGGATCTATGTACGACGTATGCATCTCATACACCCAACGTAGGGACCAACTTTTACAATCTTTTTAAGGAATCAATGTTAAAATGAAAAATACCTGGAACACAGGCGTTACAACGTATCAACATCATGTTTTAGTTTTCCGCATGTTTTATTTATAATTTGATTGGAATAGTTAGTACTATTTTTGACAATGATTGAATAAAAGGAATTTTTATATTACTATTAGGATTGACTATTATCAATATACTCTACTTTAAAATAAAAAATTATTATGGAAATCGGAAGGTTACACATTAATTGTCATTTAATTTGAAACTTAATAGTATTAGTATTTTCTATTATTACAAGAGCTTTAATGACAAACTTATGACATATAAATGAATGCCATCTTCCTTTATGATAGTTGCATTAATGACATGCATTTGAGTGTCATCTATATGTTTTTTAAAATGCTTTTTTTCCTAGTAGTTAGCTAACATAATTATCTTTTAAGAGAGAGAGAGAGAGTTATTTTTCAGTAAATCATTTATTTTTGTCGCAAAACGTTCCGTCGTATCGGCTCGATGGGGGAAACGTAATATTTATGTATGAATATATAATGTATGTATATTTATATATGAATCCACTACCTCCCATCTTCTCTGTCACTACCACACCCACTACTTTTACCACCATCTATGCCATGCCACCACCACAACCTATGCCACTAACCACAACTACCGTTGCCACCTTCACCACTAACCACCACTGTTGTCACCGCCTCCACCATTAGCACCTTCGCCACCATCACCGTGACCAATACCTTTGCCACCTATCGACACCACAACCGCCACTATCACTACCACCTCCACCATCTCTGTCTCCGCAACCAATGCCACCACCAACACCACCTTCGTCACCAACCACCATATTCATATATGAATAATTAATTGTGAACAAATGCATACTTATTTATATATAAATATTATCTTTTTCGTTGTCTCGAGTGCTTAAGCGACATTCGAAATGAGTGGCTCAAATACATTCTCGCATTCTCATCATTTTTTTTTTCAATTTAACTTTTCTTTATTTTATTTTATTTATTTATTTATTTTGTGTGTCTCTCTCTCTCTCTCTCTCTATATATATATATATATATATATATATATATATATATATATATATATATATATATATATATATATATATATATATATATATATATATAGGGTTAGGTTCATTTGAGACCATCTATATTTTGTGAGACCGTGAGATGCATTTTTTTAACTTTTTTTTAATTTTTTTTATTTTATTTTTTTTTATCTTTTTTAGTTAATTCATGTTCCGAAAATAATATTTAAAAAAAGAATTTTTTGATTTTTCCATTTATTTTGCATTTTAAAATTATTTTTAGAATATGTACAATGTAATATTCTATTTAAAATATTTCACGTATTTTTAAAAAAAAAATAGAATTTTTTTTATTTTTTTGTTAATTCAAGTTCCGAAATAATATTTAAAAAAAGAATTTTTAGATTTTTCCATTTATTTTGCATTTTAAAATTATTTTTAGATTTGGTCTCACGGTCTCACAATATTAGAATGGTCTCAAATGAACCTGAACCTATATATATATATATATATATATATATATATATATATATATATATATATATATATATATATATATATATATATATATATATATATATATATATATATATATATATATACACACGTCACAATTGTAGATGGAAAAACGACATGTACAACTCATATCCATGGACTTTTGTGAGTAAAATGTGAATGGTTGATGATACAGAAACAATAGTAAACAATAGCAGGGCAAGACTCATGGGTTGTAGGGTCGAAAAAACACTCAATGCCACAAAACTATTTTCACCCAACTCATATGAGAAAAGACCTGCCAAGATTTTTTGTGCTACTAAACAGCTTGTATTTTGTTCCTGCGGATGATTTAAGCAGTATCAAAAATGAAAAAAAAAAAAAAAACACACACACACACACAAATTTATCCTTTGGTTGGCCTATATATAATGAACTAGTAATTCAAATATATTGTTTAACGTAAATGAATAAATGTTTAAATTGAATTAAATTGAAAGATAAAAACGAAGAGTTTGTGTAGTGGTTTTAAATTTAAAGAAAGAGATAACATAAGGGTTTTGGTTTGGTAGGTTACACAACATAACATAATTTTGGTTGGAATATTTGTGGATTGTCATGTACGCTAGTCTCGATTTGTTTATGTCAATAATTTATAAACAAACAAAACTTGATAAATTAAGATGCAAAGAAAAAAAGTTAAAAAAGACAAGGAATTAACGCAATTACATAATTAAAGCGATCGGCAAATCCATATACAAAATAAAGAATTAAAGATAGATTTTATTAATCGTAACCGTCAAACACACGATTTCTGCCAAAAGTTATAGTAGTTTAAGGCGATCTATTTATATATAAGAACTAGTCGACCTAACTACTGTTCGTAGGTCGTTCCAAAAACACAATCAAGTGTCTAAACATGCTTTTGACCTTGAAATATAAATAACATAAGACTTTCATAAGTGGGATTCCATTGCTAAATCTCAGTTGTGGAAATAAGATCAAAAGAAATTAGACTTCATAACACAACATAAATAACCACAATCAATTAACAATAGAAAAATCAATCCATTCGACCTATGAAATATAAATAACATATGACCTGTTAGTCTAACGTATTATAATTTTCTTCTGACAAAACGTTTTCTTCTAACAAAACTATAAAATTAGTCTCTGTGGTATCCAAAAAAATTTAGATAGAATCCAAAAAAATTTCAACTTACATGTATGGTCCAAAATTAGGGTTTTTCTTTGGTTTTGGTCCCTAGAGATTTTGAAAAGACTGTTTTATCATATTTGTTTATTTTTTTTTTTTATGTTTTTTTAATATTTTCTTTAATAATAAACTAATTAAAAATTAAAAATGAAAAATTGGGACCTCCCCCACACCCACTGACACTCTTGCTCTCTCTCTCTCTCTCACACACACACACACATATACACACATACACACACACACACACACACTCTCTCTCTCTCTCTCTCCCTCTCCTTCTCTCTCTCTCTCTCTCTCTCTCTCTCTCGATCTTGTATGAATAAATGAATGAAAGGGTCGTTGATTTCTGAAGATAATCAACTTTTTGAATGAACTTCTCGATTTAAGCATATACTAAAAAGGTGTAAAATTAGGTCTTTGATTTCAACAGAGCGGGAAAGGGATGAAAAGGTGTTCGTCTTCACCAGAAAGGACAACCACTGAATTATCAGAACGCCACCAACACCATCTTCAGCTACGATTCTCTTAGAGACATCTGATCTGAAACACCGTTGATTTTCAGACGAAGACAAAGAAACCCTACGATCTGAAAATGACACACAGTCGACAAAAAGATCTCTAGATCCTCAGTCGAAAACTGATGTCGATGCCCTTCTAGTTTTTGTTTTTGCTTCAATTTGTCAATTATGGTTTTCGTTTAAGATCTGGATTAGCAATCAGTCGCCGAAAACCCTAGCAATCAACCGTCGCCGCCATTCCAACGAATGCCAGGGTTTCAGATGGTGATGTCGTCGTATCTATCTCTAACCCTAATCAAAGTTTGTCTCCACAACCAAGATATGAAAACGAAATGAGATTTGAAGGCAAGATATCGATTTCTGGAGTGTAAGTGCTTGTTCGTGTTTGATGACAAGAAATCAATTTCTTTCCCCTGAATTCAGGCATTTGTTTATTAGTTATTAGATGAACACAAGATCTTTATCTTCATCTTCATCCGGTTCCCAGATCTTCTTGTTCAGTTGGTAGTGGTAATATTCCATTTTTCTGAAAATCAGAATGATGAGAGAGAGAGAGAGAGAGATGTGGGGTTGGGGATAATTTTTTTTAATTAAAATAGTATTAGAATAATTATAAAAAATACAAAAAAGAAAATAAAATGATATATAATCGTTATTTCAAGTTTTTTTCTGACCAAAATCACATTAATATTTTAATTTTAGATATTTCATGCAAATGAAGCCTTTTTAGACCCATCCAAAAATTTTTTAGACCCATCCAATTTTTTTTTAATACTAGATGGACCAATCTAGAGTTTGGTCTCTTCTTCTCCGTGCTAAAACTAGAATAAAGATGTAATCTTTGTTTCGCAATCTTTTTGTCTACGTATGCCTTTATTCCTTGGTTTTATTGATTATCCATAATTTTACTCGCATGAACTATGTAAACTTCTTTTTTTTTTCTCATAATATATTTTTACAATATATTAAACTCTAGAATGCTCAATAAAACATTTAAAAGAAAAAAATTAAACTTTGTTTTTTCCTTTTGAACTTCAAATTATGTCAACTAAACATTCTATCTTATTTAACTATTCCATTTAACAATGTAGATTCAATGCTGTTACACAAAAATTAATTTTGAGAATAAATTAAAGGGAAGAATTTGAGAATAAAATTAATAACTACTCTTAAGAAAAATAAATATAATGAAGACATGCCCTTATGGGTAAAGCAAACATTAATATTTTGGATAACGTTTAACAAAATTTGACGCAATAATTGTGAATGTTTTGCGATTTACGTATCATATGTAAAATAGATGTTTTGAATACAAAAATGTAAATGGAGACCCCTTCGTGTTGATCTAGGAATTGCGGCTGCTACTCGTTTCGTGTTGTTGATAATGTTGATAGCCGTGATTCATAGCGTTGATCAGATAACTGGATCCACCGCCATATATCGGCCTAATTGAGCTTAACGCCGCCAGCATCCCATCCGTTGCGGGCACCGCACCACCACCGAACTGTTGTCCGTCCAAGAGTGCCGTTTGCGCACCAAAGTTCATAAGATGTAACCCACCTCCGACGTCTTCCTCGGAGATGCCATTAAGATTAGTCCTTGAAGACCCTCTATTATAAAGATCATTGTTATGGTTATCATTGCTGCTTGTATTACTGGTAGACGGAAAATTCCACGTAGAATCACCTGAGAAAGCATGACTAGAACGCGTATCAGGGCTAGTGCGACTACTGTTACGGTTTCCCATCATTAAAAACGCAGCCGTCGCCGGAATCTGATTGTGACCCGATTGCGTCATGTAGTTAGATGTAACACCCATTTGAATACTCCTTGGATCCAAGCAGAACTCATCGTCTTTCGCTACCGGTGTTGCAAAGTGTGACGTCGACGTCGGTTGATTTGTGACGAAGCTAAGACCGTTCCTCGGGTAAGATGTCGGTCCGGCCATGATTGTGGAGCCGGATCCTCGGAGAGAGATGTTAAGTGAAGTGTAGTTAGCGGGGATTGTTCCGGTTCCGGTGGCGGCAATGACGGAAGGTTCCGCCTGTTGGAGCAGCCACTCGATGGTCTCACCATCGGACTTGTGTCCAAGCTCTCGTGTCAACTGGAAGACTCTGGCGGCACACACGGCGGGCATGCGGATACGGCGGCCTCTGCCGTCGACTTTCGTGTGTCTGTCTTTTGTTGTTCCTCTTTTTTGCGATGGCTTTGCTTTGGGAGCTGGCTGCAGCTCCGTCGTGGAATCTTCGCCATTAACGCCACCGGATATTTCTTCAAGCAGTTGTAATGGTTGGTTTTGGCGGTGGAAGGAAGTTTGATCTTCATGACCTTCCATTATCAGTTATGAGTGTGATTTCCTGAAGAACGGGGATCGTTCTATGGGATTTTGCGATTTTCTCTCTCTAGAATATATAGGAGAGGTTGTCGTTAGCAAGCTTTAGCCAACAAAAATTATTAAAGTTCTTCAAGAAAAATATATACGGGGAAATTTTTATTTATTTATTTATTTATTTTTGGAGTTAACATCAAATTATTGTTATAGATTTTTCTATTTTTTTTTATTTTTTTGGAATGGGAGGCAATATAGTACAAAGAGAAAAGAAAAACTCACCAAGAAGGCTAAGTGTGTACAAGGTGTGCAACCACACATAGCCCCAGAAAAAATAGGTCCCGATTTTTAGCCAATTTATGTAGTTATTATATATTATACTTCATTTTACGCAAAAAGAAAAAAAAAGTATTTGTAGTTCAACTAGCTCTATGAGTTGCCTTTTGTTATCTCCTGCGAAAAGCCCAACGTTCGATTCCTATCTGCTCCCTTCTAATTTTTAACTGATTCGTTTCCAATGTATACACATTTACGTAAAACTTTAACAAAATGTCTCATAGCTTAGCCGGTTAAAAGACTTACATCTTGTTGGCTCCTTTATAAAATGATCAGGGTTCGAACCTCCAACCCTATGCCTTTTGAGATAATTTTTTACTAATTATTTTTCTTATATTAGGGGCCCATTTCTTACTTTTAGCATATGGCCCTCAAAATCAACAGACCGACCCTAAAGATCACGAGTTAGCATCATAGAGCATGAGTGAGCATCAAGGATCACAAGTGAGCATCAAGGATCTTGTTTGAGCATCATAGATACTCACAAGTTGAAGATGCTCAAGGAAGATGCACATCATTTGATGATACTCAAGGAGGATGTTCATCAGTTGAAGATGCTCATGGATGATGCTCATGTAATGTAATGCTCTGTTTCGAATCGTTTTCCATTCCGGGTTGGTAACCAGGGTTTGCGTATTAGCAGGCTTAGGACCCTTGAAGGATTGAGATTTAAGCTCATTTGGAGGTGGATGATGTAATTTAGATTATCCAAGTATCCGGTTTGTGTTTTGGAGTCAAAGGGTATCTTGGTAATTTGTCAGCTCGTGGAAGTTGGATGTTTGTTTGGGATATTGTAAGGTGGGTATGGATTGATTAAAGTATAGAGCTTCTCGTTAGCTTTTTATGGATATAAGGATCGTCGGAATCAGATTGATAATGAGAAAGTTATGTCATTTGGAGTATATTAGGGTTAAGGGGTTAAGCAGTACAAGGGGTATATATGTATGCATGGTATACTAGTTCTAAAGTCGGTACACGGGGCGTACAATGGTGTACGCGAGGTGTACTGATGTGAGGCAGGATTGTGACTTTGGGCACATACGTGGGGCGTACATGTATTTTAATGAAAACCCTAATTGTGATAATATACCCTATATAAGCTCATTAAGTCTTTAGGGCTGGCCTCTTCACCAACCTCCAAGTCCTCAAAACCCTATAAATCGTCCTTTAGCCTTCATGATGGTAATTTGAGCTCATGGTATCCATTTTTGGTGTGTTTTGGTCAATATCCAAGAAGTAGAAGATTGGTGCAAGGTTGAGGATCAAGAAAGAGCTTATGGATCTTGATTATGTGCTTCATTTCCAGCTTGTTTGAGGTATAAAGCGAGGAACTTGATCATTGATGTCTTAGATCAATTATTTATGATTTTTGGTTCCTTTTTGACCCCATGGATATGATATAGTGGCTTGATGCCACTCCAGGAGCTTTGAGTTGCCCATCTTGGTATTTATGAGGTTCAAGGTCCATAAAGATGGCACCTTAGGGTTTAAGCATGTCCATGCATGAGTTTGGATTCTTTTCAAGATGGTAGAATGCTATATTTTGAGGTTGTGTCATCTTGGGTTATGCAAAGTCACCAAGTTAGTGACTTTATGGATTTAGATAGTTATTGGACTCAGATCTATGGTTTGGACTTTTGGATTAATGCATTAAGAGCTTAATGAAAGGATTAGGCTTATTGGGTGAGTACGCTCGGTGTACAAATCTATACGCACAACATACAAGCCAATCAACGAGTATGCTTAGTGTACAAATGGGTACGCCCTATGTACTAATAAAGGATGGATTTTGGATGTTAGGCTTCGGTTTGGGCCATCTTTTGGGCTTTGTTGTCTTCGGCCCTATTGGTCCATCAGGTTTTTAGGTTGATAATTATATTAAGAAGGCCTACAATGGGTTTGGGCCCAATTTGGAAAATTGGGCCATGGTTTGGGCCTTGGGTGGTTTTTGGTATCTAGGCTTTTTTGGATTGTTAAGTTTGGGCCTAAGTCTTGGTCCAAGCTAGGTTAGGGGTGAAATGGTATTTTTTTTACCCTGAGTATGAATTTATGGTTATGGTTTTGAACCTAAATGTTGATTGGGTGTTGTTTTGATATTGTTAGTTCGAGGAACGGTTAGCCAACAGTCATAGATTTATCCGCGAGATTTAGCAGTGTGAGGTGAGTCTCCTCACTGTGTTTAGCGGGTCGAAGGTATCGATGTCGGCCCATGGTTTGTTATGCTTAGTATGCTTATTGTCTTCATGAGTCTTGCATATGTTATGTGTTTATGTTTACTGAACGAGACTCGATGCCGGGCGGGGCCTGATGCCATGCAAGGCCTGATGAGTATATTGCATGGTAGTTATCTGTATGTGTTTTATGATTGTAGTTGTTCTGTGCTACATGTTGTGATTGGGTTGAATACACCCCAGGGCGGGGCACAATATGACATGACGGGTTGAATTATACGCCAGGGCAGGGCCCACTACGATATGTTCGGGTTGAAATATACCCCAAGGCAGGGCCCACTGTGTTATGTTTGGGTCAAAATACACCCAAGGGCGAGGCCCCAGGACGGGGCCCATACTTGTTGTATTGGGTTTGAATCAACCCCAAGACTATGCCCACTTATATGATTGATATGTGGAAGTTTGGGGGAAACTCACTAAGTTTGTGCTTACGATTTTTAGTTTATGTTTCAGGTACTTCAATTTTCAAATGGAAGAGCTCGGGATGAATGCAGAGCACACACCACATGTTTCCGCATTATGATGATTTTGGGATTGTACTTTGATAAGTGTTTTCTTACAAAGTTCTTTTGAATATTTATGAAAGGAGTATTGAATGTTAACTTAAAGATATTTAATGTTTTGGTAGAATTAAAATCGAAATTTTTACCTCATAATTTATGGATGTTACATGTAATGTATCTCAAGGATGAAGGTTAATTTCAGAAGCGGTTGTATGATAGATTCTGATTGGTTGACACCTCTCATGGGCCCGTGTATTAATGGGCTTATACCATTATGGTTTGAGGTTTGATCCCTAATCTATAAATATAGATGTATGCTACTCGTTTGTTTGTGTCTTTAGGCTTTTATATCCTTAGTGAGTAGGTCGAATCTCTATTGGTTGTACTTGTAACCTTTGTTTGAGAACTCTATATATATGCATGCCTGCTACTCACGCTTATCTCGTGGATGGAGGTAACCTTGACCGAACCACGTAAATATTGTGTCTTTGTGTGCTTTTGGTTTCATATGTTATCCACATTACTTCCTAACAAGGGTCGTCAGAGCTTGGCAAGTACCATCATATATGATCTAGTTCAAGTTTCGTTTGGTTTTCCTAATAAGTGGTATTAGATTTGCGGTTTTGTGTTTCCTTGATTAAAAATGGTGTCTTAAGTGTTCAAATTGGAGAAGTCTAGTAATTCAAATAATTTCACTTTGTGGAAGGTAAAGATTAAGGCTATTCTAGTTCAATAGTATTGTGCGACTGCATTGGAAGGAGAAGTGAAACTACCAAAAGACATGAAACCTGAAAAGAAGGTGGATATTCTGGAATGAGCACCTATTCTATTGATTTTGACAGGTACAGTATTGAGAGAGGTCGTAGATAAAATGAGTGCACTTAGGAGTTGGGAGAAATTGTGTGAAAAATATCAAAACAATTCTCTAACGAACAAGCTATATCAGATACAACATTTGTATACTCTTAGGATGTCTGAAAGTACCCATGTGAATGATCATCAAGATAATTTGAATAGGATCATCTTAGACTTACAAGGTGGGAATGTTAAGATCGAAGATGAAGATCAAACACTTATCCTCTTATGTTCATTGGTGAATTCTTTTAAGAATTTCATTGATACTATATTGTATGGTAGGACAATGATCAATGTGAATGATGTGAAGGATTCTTTGATGTCTAAGGAAATGAAGAGAAAAGTTTCAGTTATTGAAGAAATTTCAAGTTTCATTTTTGTTCATAGGCAGAGGAAGAACATCATATAGTTGTTGAAGAAATTTCAAGTTTCAAATATAAAGAAAAAAATCTAATGTTATATCTGCAATCAAACTGGGCACTTAGAAGAGAATGTCCATTAGTGAAGAAATGGTATCATGAAGTTGAACCAAGCAACAAAAACAACGTTGTTGTGATTTAATGGAATTCTAATGAAGGGGATGATGGTGAAGTTTTGGCTATATGTACAACTAAATCTATAGATGCTTGGATCTTGGGCTCGGGAGCAACTTATCACATAAATTATAATCATGATTGGTTTAGCTCCTTTAAATAATGGAATGGTATAGTTAATATGGGTGATGATTGGATATTGATGATCAAGTTTAGTGGCACAGTGCATATCAAGATACACGGTGGTATGGTCAACAAACTGGATTGATGGTTTGTCCCGGATCTTCAAAAGCTTTAGATCTCTCTTGGCACTTTGCCGAAAGACGGATTGAAGTATTCTGGAAAGGTGAATGGGTAAGAGTCCCGAAGGGGGCTCTAATAGTTATGAAGGGAAATATGAATCATGGTATTTATTTCCTGGAAGGCTGTATAATTAGGGGAACAGTGGCAGTATCTTAATCCTTCGATCAGTATGATGATAAAACAAAGTTTGGGCATCATAAAATGGGTCACAAGAGTGATGTGGGTATGAAAATGAGTATATATGG